GTTTTAGTTAAACCATTTGAAATTTAATAATAATAAAAGTTCATCCTGTTCAATTTCTTTCTTTTTTGATTTTTCCCTACTTAGAAGTGGAGTTTTCTTATGTATTCGATCGAGTTTGAAATTATGTTTTCATTCAATTAGGTTTGGTTTATTTGGATTGAAAAAAAACAATTATAGCTTAGGGTGTTTGCTTTTATAATTACTAGTGTTTTGTCCACGCGTAGCGTTGTATAATTATATTGTAGTTTTATAGAAGGTTATCAGTTAATTTTGTATTTAATATTGTGATAAATCATTAAATAGTATATTTGCATGTGATTCTTAGATTTAGTCAAATGGAGTAAATATAATAGAAATATATATATATATATAAAGATGAAGGAAACTTTTGTATAATAATTTGAAGGTAGATTAATGTATCTTATGGGTTAGTTGAACTTATTTTAAGAATTAATGCATGTTTTTGTAAATATGAAGGGTAAAATTTAACCATTTTGTATAATAATTTGATTTGTTATATATTTTATTTATGTGAATAGTATCTACATGAACTATATATTATATTAGAAATTTATTGTCTAAATTTGGACATCTTATGTTATAATGTTATTTCTTTAGTGAACACCATGAATATTATTTTTCACTTTCATAAAATTTTTGCATAATCTTCTCTTTCGCTTGATGCTTTTAAAAAGAAAATCTTAATCCTTATTCAATTTTTGTTTCATATTGTATGTTAGGATTTTATTTTTAATTTTCATATAATATGCAATTCTCTACTTAACAATTTTTAAAGATTTAGTGTGTACATAGATGTTTTATAATTAGAAGAAACCAAATAGCGATTAATAATAAATTTCTTTATTATATGAGTTCTTTATTAATTGATAAACTATTTGTTTGATAGTTTAGCTAGCTCGATGATTTGTCAATACTAGTGATTCTGATGAATAGTGTAGAACTTTATAGTTATATGTTATTTGAAAAAAAGACTTTTCAGTTTTATGTTTCATGAACTTTTGCAAATGAGATTAAGAAATAGTGAGTAATTGTCTTCAATCATCTATTGTACCTTATGATTTGTTTCATTAACTTCTTTATTATATGACTAACTGTTATAGTTATATATTGTACCTTAGGATTTTATTTTTAATTTTTATATATTATGCATTTCTCTACTTATCAATCTTTAAAGATTTAGTGTGTACATAGATGTTTTATAATTAGTTCATATACTCAACGAAGAAAACAAATGACAATTAATAATAAATTTTTTTATTATATGGGTTCTTTATTAATTGATATAATATTTGTTTGATAATTTAGTTAGCTCGATCATTTGCTAATATTGGTGAAGAGTCTGGAACTTTATAGTCATATATTATTTTTTTTAAAAAAATTCAGTTTTATATTTCATGATACAAATGAGAATTAAGAAACGGTGAGTAACTGTCTTCAATTACCGGTTGTTTAGTTATGCTTTTACGTCGGTTTCTCCACAATGTCTGACTACAACAAACAATATAAAATTTTATATCAGCTTTAGAAACTTGAGATCTGTTATAAGATCAATTAGGTACAATTGTTTAAATTATTTTTCTCTAGAAGAAAGATAACCGAGTCACTCCTCAAGTTTTACTTTTGGCGAGAAAGACGTTCTCCAGCTCCAGCATTACTATGACTAAGACTCATTCTTGCTCGATTCACATTATAAATATAAATGAAAAACAGTTGTGAGATTGTATTTTTATGTTGCTTAGAGCTGTGTAAAATTTATATCCTATATGGCTCATCGCTATGTTTTTTTTTTTGTTTTTTGTTTTTTACATCCTCATTGCTATGTTTTTTTGGATTTCACTTATTTGTGGTCCACATATTTAAGTTTTATTGTTTATTGCCAGTTTGATTGTCATTAATTAAAGAGTAAAGTCTGTGTTTAGTAACAGCTGATTCTGTTTCTGGTGAGTTAGAGACGAAAAGATTGGAAATCGAGAAGACTATAACTCTATAAAATGAGCTTTTATTTGAGCTTTATAATTGAGCTTTATAATTTGTTTTTAGATTTTTTTTTTTGAGAATTTAGTAATTATGAAAGTTTTTTGTGGTCAGAATTTGAAGAAGTTTTGATTAATAAATTATTTAATGAAATGACTTTAAGTTATTGGTTGAAGAAGGTGACATAGCAGTTTTGGAGTCTACCATTGGCTGATTATTTTTCTGATTATTTTTGTTGATATGACAGCCCTTAGAAGCCTTGAAATCTTTCCTTTTTATATAAAGAAGATTTAAAAATTAATAAATTAAAAATCTATAAACCATTAAGATCTAAAGATAACTAAAATTTACTGCCACATAAGATATGATGATCATGAATAGGATCAATAAATCGCGTATGTTAGATGGTAAACATGAAAATAATGCTACAAAAGTTTACAAAATTTTGTTTTATTTAATATAAGTAAAACATGTAAAAAACGAAAAAAAGATTAAGCAAACAGCTCACACAAAAAAAAAAAAAAAAAGAAAATGGAAGTAAGGAATCTAAATACCATAAGTAAACATGAAGAAGACACAAACACAAAGACAAGTCTTTAGGAGTGTTAATCAGAATCAGTTGATTTGACCAGGTTTCCCTGAGCTGTAAGGTGGTCTTGGTCTCCTTCTTAACAATCCTGTAAACTTCGCCATAAATCCTGTTTCTTGAACCTATATAATCAAACATAAATATAGCTTTTATTACAAATATTATGACTTCTGACATCAAATTCAACTAGGGTTTAGTTCCAAGATTCCAAAGTTAACTCTTTTTTTTCCACGTTTAATTCCTAATGATTTGTGTTTCTACCTTTCTAGATGTTTCTGCTTAGGATTGGCTCGCTAATCTTTCTTAATGTTATTATTAATTTGTTTAACCATAAGATAATAGCTGACCAGAGTTTGAACAAAGAGAAGAGCTTACGATTTCAGTCCCCGGGTCTTCTTCTGTTGATGGTGAAGATGATGATGATGAGGATGATGGTGATATTGACGAGGATGACTCAAGACCAAGACACCTCAATATGGCTTGAACCGTTTTGTGAAAGGCAGAACATGGAGAGTTGAGAAGAGAGTAATAAACTTCTTCTTCTTCATCTTCTCTTCTACTTCTCTCTTCCTCTCCATTAACTTCCATTTTTTTTTTTCTTCCTAATTCTTCTTCTTGTGCTCAATGCAATAACTATTGTGTCTCATTTGACCTCACCTGCTTCTCTGTGTTCTTACACACACACCCTACCTTGCATTTAATACCTTTTTATTTTATTTTTACTTTTTTATTCATAGTTTATACATTCTTCATTTAATGCTTAATTTAACTTTATATTCATAATTTATACATTTAATGACTAAAACTACTAGGGTGCCAAATTCAACTAAACAGCATAAACCATCAAAACCGATAAAAAAAAAATAGATGATGTTAACATCATTACAATCATCTTGAACTGAAAAGCAAACAAAGCTTAATTTACATTAATGGCATATCTTGGCTTATATAAATTGAAACCGTATCAGATCAATCCAAAAACACTTCAATTCTTATATTAAAAAGGAAGAAAAATTCGAATAGAAAAAACTGGATTACAGTGCATTCTAAAGATAACAATAAAAATATTTAATTAGTTAGATTAAATTCATATAGTTGAATTGATCTGAAATGCATGACGGTGTTGGCCAACTCAGAGAGCTTTGTTTCTTACTGTTCATCATTTTGCTTATGGATCTTTATTTTTGTCGTCCTCTTACGTCTTTGTACCAAGTTCCTTTTGCACTAGAGAGTCCACTCTTACGAAAACCACAAATAAATGTTCGTATTTATCATTCTCGATTTCAACCTTTTATTTTGTCTTCTTTTGTTACAGGCTAAAATAATAAATTTCGTATTTTTTTGCTACTGTATATTCTATGTTTAAAATATTGAATTATTTCCATGTCTTGTTATATTCTATTTTATCAGAAGTTAGAAATTTAACGTTAGATATAAATTATTCTTACTTGGTTTAAAAAATATTATCGGTCTCTCGTCTCGATTCACTTGTCTTTTATTCTTTCCCTAACCAAATACGTTGATATTTAATTATTTGGTTTATTTCAAAGATGATGCAAGATTAAGATTATTGACAAATTTTCTACCACATTCTACAAGTAAATGCTAATTAAATCGATATTTTATATTTTATAATAGTTGCGATAGCCCTTGTAAACAACTACTATAATTAAGTGTACGGGTCATCAGAGTAACTTTCTTTTATGTTTCCTTCAACTATTATTATTTTATAAATTTTATTTAGTCTTGGAATTTGTTCACATTCACACGCAATTACGCAAACATGTTGTCATTTGTATTAGTCTATGTCAAAAATATATACACGCAAGACCAAAAATCATCATCATACATTGATTGATAGGCTAAATTTAAAAGATTTATAGATTTCATCGTACTATGGATTATATATATACTTGTCAATCCGAAAATATTTTAAATTTATTAATTCAACTAACCGTGTTTGTGTTGGTTACAAACTTACACGATCACACTTGGACTTAGAAGATTTAATTACAGCCGATTACACACTTGAACGTTGACCTATACAAACAATAACGACTTATTGTATTTTTGGTAACTATCAGGTGATTTGTTTTCAATATGTTTTGAAATTAACAGCCTTTTCTCCTACTCTTAAAATAGAGCATAGAGCTGGCTGATCACACTTCAAAATAAAAACAACAACGTACTATATATAAACCATAACCAATATAACGCAAAAATTTAGAACTTTTTTAAACCACTCCAATTTCTAAACAAAAACAAAATTAAAAAAAAAAACCTAAAAACACAAAGGTGTGGTGGAAGAAGCCAAGGAAAACAGTGTAAATTAATTATTAACCTTTTCTAAAATAGAAAGGCGATATATTCGGAAAAAAACGTCGTCGTATCTTCTTCGCCGACGTCTCCGTCGTTAATGGGGGAGCCACGGCCAAGGGAAAGCGGTGATTCTTCCTCCACCGACTCATTTTCAACCCCTTCGGCGTCTCCGTGCCCTTCACCGTCTCCGGCGCCACGTCAGCACGTGACGTTAGTCGAACCATCTCATCAACACAAGAAAAAAGGCAAAAAAGTCTTCCGGGTCTTCCGTTCCGTTTTCCGCTCTTTTCCGATCATAACACCGGCGGCTTGCAAAATCCCCGTCCTCCCGGGCGGCAGATTACCAGACCCGCACCGGGGCGGGTCAAGCGGGTCAAAAGTCACCGGGACTTTATTCGGATACCGTAAAGGCCGTGTAAGCCTCTCAATTCAAGAAAGCCCTAGATGTTTACCATCTCTCGTCGTGGAGCTTGCAATGCAGACAATGGTGTTGCAAAAAGAGCTAAGCGGAGGAATGGTTAGGATCGCTTTAGAGACGGAGAAACGAGGTGATAAAGAAAAGATCAAGGTAATGGACGAGCCGTTATGGACAATGTACTGTAACGGTAAGAAAACGGGATACGGTGTGAAACGTGACGCGAACGAGGAAGATCTTAACGTGATGGAGTTGTTAAGACCAGTTTCGATGGGCGCCGGAGTTTTGCCAGGGTACTTGGAGGCTGAAGGTCCTGACTCGGAGATGGCTTACATGAGGGCTTACTTCGAACGAGTCGTCGGGTCTAAAGACTCAGAGACTTTCTATATGTTGAGCCCCGAAGGGAACAATGGACCAGAGCTTAGTATTTTCTTTGTAAGAGTATGAGTCGGGGACATGGGAACGTACGTTCTTGATTGTATATGGACAGAACATTGCCGGAACAGAGACCGATCTCGGTTCGTGTGGATTGATATGTGTTTATATGGTCATGATGATATGTGTGCATATGGGACGTTTTGGTGGTGTGCATGTGGAATGTGAGGATTGATTTGGAGGTGATGTATTATTCTTTAGGATAATTTATAAAAAAAAATATTTCAGGTTAATTAAACATGCAAATTTATTCAGGTTTAAATTTGTTTTCATTTATAAATTACAAACTTTATATAGAGTTTCGAATAGAACAAAGAGTGAAACTACTATAGTGGGTCGAACTGAATCTGCTTCACTCAGATACGAGTGGATAAAAGCAAAACGACACGTAGTTCAAATGTTTCCTTTCGATTGAAAAGCAACGTTACTGAGCCAAAAGTGAGCCACGTCGAACAATATCTTGCCACCTCACAAAAAACGACACGACGTGTACAATTGGTCACCATGTAGATTCCTTTCTTCTTTTGTTTTCCCTCAATTCTCAGTTTCCTGCTAAAAGATTCCTCCGGATCATCGGAAAATGGCTATGGCTACGCGTGCGATTCGATGCCAGTTACTGTCGCCGAGACTTGTTGTTCCTAGGTGCGAATCATCGGAACCGATTAAGCAGATCCAGATCCAACAGCGACCGAGAGGCGGCGATATGGCCGAGAACGGGAAGATCGTGCTTCAGCCGAGGCTCTGCACGCTGAGATCTTACGGATCTGAGCCAGGTGCGATGGTCGTCGCTAGAAAAGACGGCGGAGATGTCGGAGGAGGAGCTGAGGCAGAGTTAGCGACGCCGTTTTTCGAAACGCTCACTGATTACATAGAGAGTTCGAAAAAGAGTCAGGACTTCGAAACAATCTCCGGCCGACTCGCCATGGTAAACCAAAACCTAAATTCGAAGCTCCGAATCTCGATTTTCCGTCTTAACTCTGAGGTTATTTTCGTAATTTACAGATCGTGTTTGCGGCGACTGTGGCGGAGGAGGTTGTTACCGGGAACTCGTTGTTCAAGAAACTGGACGTGGAAGGATTGAGCGAAGCCATTGGAGCGGGTCTTGGAGCGATGGGATGCGCAGCCGTATTCGCCTGGCTAACGATTTCTCGGAACCGAGTCGGACGAATCTTCACAGTGAGCTGCAACTCGTTCATTGACTCGTTGGTGGATCAGATCGTCGATGGGTTGTTCTACGACACTGAGCCTAGTGATTGGTCCGACGAAGTTTAAATCCCGTCACAAACGTTAAAAAAACCCACTACGAATGTATAATTAGTGTACAACATAGTCTGGTCTTCAATCATCGTTTCTTCATATGGTGCTTGAAGATGATATTGAAAGTCTGTAACTTTTGCGTCTATATATAAAAAAGATATGGAATTTTCAGTGTTCTTTGATTCAAAAGTAGACAATAGAGAATGTTCATTGTATTCAGAGACACTAGGAAGCTGTCTCTATGGTCTTAATGCACTCAAGAACACTTGCTTTGTTGGACATGGCAGCCATTAGAGCTTCATGGACTGTCTTGTTGTTCTTCAGGAGAGAAGCAGAGTAGAGAACCTGCATAACGAAAACAAAAAGATTCATTAAATAATGTAACGAGAGATGAAAGTCTGCTATGTAAAGAGAAACCTACGGCCCATCTTGTTAGATTTTGCTGCTGTGCATTGCTGATTTTGGGTTGGCTTCTGTTTATGAACCTCTGCAAGAAACAAAAAAACGCTTTTATGACTCAATGTTTGTGAGTGTGTGAGTGTTGAACTTGAAGTGAGTGATGATGTAAGAAGAACCTGAAGAGAGAAGAGATCCGCAGATTGGCCGATAACTTTGTCATACTTGAGACCCTCGGCGGCGAGTCCAGCCATTGCGACAGCAGCCAACCTGAGAAACCCGAAGAAGAAGATTCAATGGGTTTTGAGATTTGATCCTTCTTCATTCTCTCTTGGGTTTGTCCAACATTAAAGAAACTCTTACCTATCGAGCTCCTTTGAGTCAAGCTGGCCACTGTATATAAGTTTAGCAAGTCTCTCGTCGATGAGATTGACGTGTTCTTTACCGATGTCTAACGAGTACCCGAAGATCGGAAGTCCGATCAAGTAAGCCACTGGAAGTTGCAGGTTCAAACACAATCAGAGAACATTGCACTTGTGTAAGAAAGGTTTGAAACTTTTAAAAGAGGTACCTAAGAAGTGGGCTGCTTCATGTCCGGCAATACGTTCTTGATAATCAGGGAAGAACGTCGAAAACCCTGAGATCGCAGCTTGAAGAAGCCTTTACCCAACAAAAACAGCAGAAGATATCAATCTGTAAATTCAGAGAACATAAATGTTAACAAACATGAAGTTGGTTTACTTCTTTGCTTACCCCGGTGAAACGCTTCCCACGGCTAAAACCACCAACGAGATGCTCCCGACTAAGTAAGGCACAAAGAATCCCCAGTCCTGCCCACATATTCAACAGTTATCCATCAGTCTATGACCAATGAGATTGGTCGTGCCACAAGAATGGCAAAGGTGTCTTCTTCTATCAAGACTAAAGATTTCTTGTGTCTTGTAACATCTGGGAAGGTTTACCCCAGGAAGCTGGCCGGCGATTACAGCTAAGAACCCGGTTGTTCCAACCACCGTGAAGAGAAAAGCCGCCTGCATTACTCAAAACTCAATTAGAAGAACCTCCATTAACATACACTGTAGTCTCAAGAACTCTCTTTTGAGTCCAAATCTTAGTTACAAGACATGTGACAAAAGTTTAACCAGACACAACTTACATCGTTCCTGACACTAGGGATGGCGAGAGTCTCTGCATTCTTGATTCCAAGCGTTGTCAGCTCCCGAAGCGATGTCTGATTCAAAAAGACACATCACTTCTTCACTCATCCACCGAAAGAACGCAATTTTGTAAGGAGTAAGCTTTAGATAGAGAGATCGATATACACCGTACGGCGCGAAAGGTAAGGCTGAGAACTCCATTTCTTAGCCCAACCTTCTTCGCTCAATCGATCAAGAGCTTCCTTAACACCGTTACTATCTTTCTGCCGTCAATACATAAACCAAATTTCAAGAATCACGCTTTATGCAGAGTTTCATTGAATAAAAATGAAAGCTTGTAAGTAAATAAGAAAAGACCTTGTTAATTGCGGATTCGAGGGCGCTAAAATCAAACTCAGAGGAAGCAGTTGTAGAAGAAGAAGAAGACGAAGGCGAAACCGCTATCTGATTCGGAGGGTTTCTAGGATTCAATCGTAAGCTCCATGGATTTCCCCGGATTCTACAATGCCGGTGAAACGACGCCATCGGAGTAGTAATACCCGACGAAGAAACAGCTAATGCAGTCATGTTTTTTCTTGATATACAAATTCTTAATCGCTTCGCATTTGAATTTTTGACGAACGTAGAATCAGATAATGCTTCATCTTCGTCTTCTTCTTCTTCTCCCAGTTTGAAACGTCGGACGAAAGGAAGGTAAGAGAGCTCGTGGCGTCTTTCAGACCACGGACCATGCTTTCCGCCACGTCAGCAGTTATAGATAACGGCGGTAACATCGGTTTACCTCCGGTTTATTGTTTTTTGAAAAAAAATTCGTCTCAGATCGGTGTGATTTTGTCCGGATTCAAATATCAAATCGAACCGGATAATTAATTGTTATCTCTTCAAATTGAGGAAAGAGTCACACTGATTAAATCAGATCCATGGCGGCTACAACGAGCTCCGGCGACGAGCCACCGGGAACGCAAACGCCGGCGCAATTGATTCCGTTACTACCAGACGACGTTGCTCTGAATTGCCTTGCCCGCGTCTCTAGGTGCCACCATCCGATCCTCTCTCTGGTCTCCAAGACTTTCCGATCTCTCCCCAAATCGCCTTTGCTCTACGCCACACGATCTATCGCCGGAGCCACCGAAAACATCCTCTACGTCGCAATCCGACTACCTCCTCAATCCGGTGCGTGCTGGTTCACTCTCCACCAGAAACCACATAAAGCCTTATCGGATACGACGGATTCGCACCTGCTTGTTCCTATCCCGTCGTGTCCTTCGCCGTCTCTTGTTGGATCCGCCTATGTCGTGGTGGGTTCGGACATTTACGTAATCGGTGGATCGATCAGAGACGTGCCTTCTTCGAGCGTGTGGGTTCTCGATTGCAGGTTCCATACTTGGCGACGAGTCTCTAACATGAGGGTAGGCCGCGAATTCGCAGCAGCTGGAGTAATCGGCGGGAAGATTTACGTGATTGGAGGATGTGTGGTTGATAATTGGGCTCGTTCGATCAACTGGGCAGAGATGTTTGACATAAAGACTCGAACTTGGGAGCCAGTGGCTAGTCCGGGCATGGAGGTGCGTGAGAAATGGATGCACGCAAGTGCGGTGATGGAAGGGAAGCTCTACGCGATGGCTGATCGGAACGGCGTCGTTTACGAGCCCAAGGAAGGGAAATGGGATATGCCGGAGAAGAGGCTTGATTTGGGGTGGAGAGGAAGAGCTTGCGTGATTGAGAACATACTGTATTGCTATGATTACTTGGGGAAGATAAGAGGGTATGATCCAAAAGAGAGGATCTGGAGAGAGCTGAGAGGTGTGGAAACACTTCCAAGGTTTCTCTGTGGTGCTACAATGGCGAACCGTGGTGGAAAGCTTGCGGTTTTGTGGGAAGGAAAAGTAGGTAGTGGCGGCTGTAGAAGGATGGAGATTTGGTGCGCAGAGATTGATATCGAGAGACGTGGAGAAGGGGAGATTTGGGGGAAGATTGAGTGGTCTGGTACTGTGCTCACGGTTCCTAATGAATCCGGCATTGTGAATTGCTTGGCAGCTACAGTTTGACGATTTACATCTTTAACTCTCTCTGAATCATCATCATCAATTCATCATCCATGCCGAACCAACCACAGGTCTGCTTCTGATTCAGCGTGATTGGTTCTCTTATGATTGTCTGTTTGTTACGGTCATTGTGGTGAACATAGTGATTTAGACTTCTTTGTCAGAAATGGTGGATTGACAAAGAGTAAAGCTTTGGCACGAGGCCCTGAGCAAAAATCAAACAACTTGGCAGTGTATTGTAGTTTATAGATTTGCTTCTGTACTTTGGAATGAATCATTTTTCTTCTTCTTCTGCATGTTCTTTTCCAACTCATTTCTTGTACCTTCAAATTTGAATAATAACAAGTAAAATTTCTCCATACACTTGTCTTGCTCCTTCCTCATCTTAACAGAAGGGAGAAGAATGATAAACAAAAAAAACAGTATTTATTAAGTTTATATACATGTATATGGTATCTTCTTAAATAAAACATTGTTTCTGGTTTTCCACAGTCAAAATTAGACTCGTGTAAGGATGAGCCGAAGCCAGGTCGTCTTTGCCTAGAAAGCTCTGAACTTGCTCAAAAGGGCTTGGTGATACAGTATGTGTGATTTGCTTTGTTGATTTGATTGAAAAGATAGATGTAGAGACAGAGAATTGATGGCTGAGAAGTTAGAGGTCGCCGTCAGGGATCTCCATAGTTTCTTCTTTTTCTAGATAGCTCTGAACTTGCTCAAAGGCCTGGTGATAATATGTGATTTTGCTTCGGTGAGTTGATTGAACACAGATCAATGATGAAGCGACAGAGAAAGGACATGACTTACCTCAATGGCGATTTCAGCTGGTGTGAGATCTGAGACATCTTTATAGCCACGCTTGACTGCAATATCTGACATTTGGAAGTACAAGGAAGAAAAGCTAAGTTACTATCTCTCTGAGCACCATACATAAGTTCAAGAAGAATCACACAGATTTAACAAAAGGCTAAAGCAGATGGATGTAGAAGACATACTTTCTAAGGAGACTCTGGCATTTGCGTTTGTGTATGCTTCACCGCGCTCATCCCAAATAGTTGAAAGACGCTTAAAAGCCTGCGTGTAATTCATTCATTGATGATCACAAATCCCACAAAAAAAATGGTTTCTTTTGTAAGTATCCAAGGGCTTATGATTGTAGAAAAGTCAGATGAGTACCACAGTGTATGCATCTCCTGATTCATCGTGTAATAGTGGCCGTGAATCGGTTCCAACAGCTGCGATTCTATGGGCTAAGGCTTCTAGAGGAACATCTAGCCAAATGCTGATCCCTTTATGCATATATTTCCTAATAATGTCATCAGATTACCAAGTAAATTCAACAGAGAGCTCAGTTTCATATGTTACGGCCTTGGGGAATGAAAACGGAACACACCAGTTAATGGGTCTTATAACTGCACCTCCACCAGTGGAAACAACAACTTGATACATCGAAGAGAGCTTCTTTAGTGCATCGGTCTAGAAAGAAAGTAAGTGTTTCAAAGCTTAGAACACAATACAGTGAAACTCATTGAAGAAAAGAGTAGGCGAAGAAGAAAAGCTTTGAAACTAACCTCCTTTCCTCTAAAGAAACTCTCTCCGTGATGCTCAAATATCTCTGCTACAGAAGTTCCGTTCATCGCCTGCTCAATCAAAGTGTCACTGACACATCCACAAAACTTAAAGATGGTTACACATCCAGAATACAAAACCACATTCAGCACTCACTCTAAATCAAGGAACAACTCAATCCAGGAGACTCTCATCGAGTTTTTGAAGATAAAAGATACAAAAGCTCTCCTTCAGTTTCTGTTCATATTCACATAGTAGCAGTAGCATATACATACCAGTCAAAGAATGAATAACCGAGCACTTTCGACATTAACTTTCCCACTGTTGTTTTCCCAGAACCCATCATTCCTATGTTCACAAAAGGAATCATTGAGTTAGAAAAAGAGTATTAAGAACCAACCATGTGCAAACAAAGGAGCAAGCAAAGAAACTGACCAACAAGGTACATAGATCGTCCATGCAAATACGGCTTAACCTCTTCTGCTTTCCTCTGCAAACCGCATGTATCCATTGTCCAGTAAGATTTTTATAGACGAAACAAGAAAATATAAAAACAAATCTACATGATTACAAAAGGGTATTCATTATTACTTGCCTTCAGTATCAGATCTTCATCAAATGAATGAACACTTCCCGCCTGCAACAATGCTGCAAAAATCAGAAGAACGAATCAGATTTCCTTCATCAATTCGAGACTCCCAAGGCGATGGCATTTCATACGCATCCAAATGCATTTACAAACTACAACAACCTGAAGAGTTTTTATCAGAACATGAAACCTCAGAAGAAACCGATCTTGCTCGTTCATTTCTCTTGTCAGGTAGCAAATGAGCCAAAGCAAGACCTCTGAACCTTTTCTCTTCCTTAGCTCGCTGAGCATACCGCAACGAATTTAGCGGTTTCCTCTCTAACTTTCTACAATCAACCCATGATGGGTACTGAACCCTCTGAGCAATAGCTGCTTCCATATATAAAACACTCAGTCAATCTTCAAAACACAAAATTCAAAATCCCTGCAAAAGCAACATCAAATGGATTCAGCTTTCTCTGCAACTACCAACACCAAAAGAGCATCATTTTGACCATTTCTTCCATATAATCAGACATAAATTTCACTAAAAGAGGAGAACTTGGCAACAATTAAGGACAATCAATGCACCATAGACATCAGTTTCACTAAACCCTAGCAAGATTCTTGTCTACATCGACCAAAAAAACCCTTATGAACCACATCAAACCGTAGGACAATGGAAATCAAAACCCGAGATTTTTCATCAAATTTCAGACAAAATTCAAAATTAACTCTCTTCCTTACAGGATCAGCAGCAATGAATGTCAGCTTCGATCAAATCAAATGAGGATTCTTTTTTTTTCTTTTTACTGAAACAGAGTACATAGCAAAAAGAAACCAGAATAAAACGATGAAGCTGTGGCGAAATCAATGGAGAAACAAAAAGAATGATCACCCAGTGGGAGTGTAATCTTTTTCTCCCAGCTTCCAACTAGAAAATTCGAACTTTCCGGGAAGAAACAATGATCACCCAAATCAAATCGAGACGCAAAAGTAAAGGAATGTTTTTTCAAAAAAAGAGGACACTTTCCTCAACCAAAAAAAAAACATATAAAAATCATAATTAGATTAGACCCTAAGAAACTCCATTAACGAATACAAAATTATACAACCTACAAAAGAGTTTCACCTGAAAGTTTTCTGCCGCCGGCAGAGAGGAGACCTCTCTCTATATCTGTAATCTCTCTCAGATTTAAGGTTTTTTTTTTATTTAAATAAATGACTAATTCGTTTGGGTGGACAAATTAATTAATAGTATTTGATACAGAAGAACAAATAAAAGGGGGTTGGTGAAGCAGAAACAGTGATGGCCTTTGAGCCTTTAAACGTCTCATTAGTTGGTCTTGACCATAAACATTTCTTAACCACTTTTTACCAATTTTAAATTGTTTTATTTATTAAGCCCAATCCTCTAACAAAATGTTGATTGTAGTATTGCACACAAACAAACAAAAAAAGAGAAAAGTTTGATAAAGTTGATCCTAATTCCAAAATAGATTGTGTTATTAGCTCAATTTTCCTATTTTGTAGCTCACACCACTGTTGATAAATCACTAATCTATGTTTGTTTTTCAAAAAAAAAAAATTAGAATAATTACTTGTAGAAATAAAAACACAAATATTTTAAGGAGTATGAGAAGAAGAGTAAAAATATGTATATATTTTCATGATTCTTGTTACAAAAAAAATCTATATAAATGAATTGGAAGATGTTGGTGGCTATCTAATCCCAACAACAGATTTATTGCACTATTGAAAGTTGGTGTCGATGTTACCATCTCCATTATAGATTGTGACACCTCTCATTTTTCACATGCTTTTGCCTTCGTCCGGTACTGTGGAACTTCATGCTTGTTTTTTTTTGTAGCTTTTTTCATCTATAAAATATATTAGAACCGAAAAATTCAAAAGACACACCAATAGAATTTATAGAAACCTCAAAAATTGTTAAAACGAGGTTCCTCTTTATATTATATATTTAATTTTATAACTTTTTTTAGGAAATTTTCAATAAAAATTGGATAATTGTGATGAACTTTAAAAAATAAATACACAAACGAATAATCTAAAGTTCTAAACAAATAATCAAATGGGTATGGACCGTATGGGCTGGAAAGTTCGTGGTCCCGAAATGATGAGAAAATCTATCAATGAATACAACAATTATGAGGCCCAACAAAAACCCACAAGATATCTCTCGATTTTGGTTTTGAGGATTGTGATTACAAATTGTTGTGTATGAGTATGACCAAAGGAATGGATTTTCTAGCTAAAGAGCTTCGGTTTTGACATTGAGAATGGAGAACGATTGAGAATTGTCCTCCCCACTCTCCTGATACTCTTCCTTAATTTAGAGGTTTAGTGTAATTAACTTTTTCATAATTCGAAATTTCTTTGATTTTCCCATTTAATAGAGATTAAGATTTGGAAAGAATACAAATATTTAGAAAACTATGAACCTAAAATAAATATTTCATCTTCACATATAAAATGACAATCAGTTTCCATATGCTTTGTATGCTCATAGAAAACATGATTAGCACTAAGATGAATGGCTGATTAATTGTCACAATAGAGAAGGATAATGTGTAGTGAACTTGACACCAAGAGACGTAAGAAATTGTTTAAGCCACAATATCTCTTTGAATGTAAATGACATTGCTGCTAAATGTGTATTTCCTGTGCAGAAATATGAATCAAGTGAAGTATGAAAGTTCAAAACCTGCGGGACACTGGATATAGTTTGATTATGGGATTGTGCTATGCAAAAAAATACGGAGTCGGGAGATAAAAAGCTAATGGAAAAATTTCAGTTGCCGTAACTCAAGGCAATTTGTTGGGATCGAAGAAGAAGAGTTATACATGATCAAATATATTTTTTAATATTCCACGTTCAAGTCAACGTTAAAAAGAGTGAAGTCAGGTTATCCTGTTGTTGTGGATTATATTTGTTTGTGGGATGAAGATCGAAGAGAAAATTTATTGGAGAACGTGGTGTTATTATAATGAATGTGCGAGTCATTAATTTTGTAAATGTGGCCATATGCAGCTAAGTAATGTGACTGGGATTGGTCATAATAGATAGATGAATGTCAACCTCTGAGATAATGACAATTGATATCCATATGATCGTAGTACTATCTTTTGACATTCATATGACGGCAAATGGAGTTCGTGACCATATGATCCAACAAATACCCATAAAATGTTGTGTGTGCAGTATGAGTATGATAAAAAAAAAAAAATTTTAAACCAAAGAATTTCGGGTTTTGACATTGAAAAAAGAAAACTAACGATTGAGAATTGTCCTCCTCGCTCTTTAGCTACTTATCTCATTATTTGAAGAGTGAGGAGGACTATAAAAATGCATAGCCTTTTAACTGATAATTATAATTTTATATATTACAAAAGCAACAATACTTTAGGCAATAACTGTATATAAAACAACCGTTTCAAAAAAAAAACTGTATATAAAACATATGTATTTTGCTCATTAGTTTCCAATCTTTTTGACTCTCATATATTATTATTATCAGACTTAAAATTTTAAGATGGGTGACTTCCGACTAGACCCTGATATGATCTTTTTAAAAAAGCTATCAAATAGTGATGTTAGCAGTCTTAACAGACATTGTCGTATGTTAATACCAAAAATATCAAATGCTGTCTGTCTTAAAAAAATATTTTAAAAATGGTTACAGATAAGAGTTTGCGAAATGGTATTGAAATCGAAGTCTTAGACATTGTTATTAAACACTTCATTCTTTGTTGCCCTAAGATACTGTATTATTATTCTATAGCTCTAAAGCATATCTAAAACATATCTTTTGATATAATCAGTTGCAAGTATCTTCTAAGAAATTAAATGGATATTTATATGGATGTCAAAATTTGAGATTCAAGAGCAAGAGTCACTGGAAGCATTTGTTCTTCTCAAGAGTAACAAATGAGCTTGTAAGATAACTCAAAGTGTGGTCAAATAAAAACAGTTGGCAATGAAGAACTGTATTTAGAAAATTTTGTAATGCCCATAATTTAGAAAATTTTGGGAGATAACTTGAGAAGCAAGAAAACTATACAAAATATTCTGAGATAACTTGAGAAGCAAGAAATTTTGTAAGAAGATATTTGGAGATAATTTTGATAAAGAAACCGTAAACGAAAATCAATAGTGTAAAGCCCATTATTTAGAAATTTTTTGGTCCTCTTTTACCAATTGGAGGTATGTTCTGAAGCGTTTGAGACGGTTTTGAGAACGCTAGATATTGTTTATCAAAACGCAAAAGCGGCCAATCTATTCTTCTCTTCTGTGCAACAAAGTTTCTAACTTTATTTACGCAACAGTGATTTCAAAGTCGACACCGGCGTCACTCAGTGTTACAAAACGGATTAAGATGGTTTCAGACAGACGGAGAAGAAACTCAGATCTGCTTCCGATTGATCTCATAATGGAGATTTTCAAACGATTACCTGTCAAAACCCTAGCAAGGTTCCTCTGTTTGTCCAAGCTTTGGGCATCCATGATCCGCCGCCCAGATTTCATGAAACTGCACCTCGCCGAGTCCTTGAATCGACCGGGTCGTCTCTTCATCTCCGCCACGCTTGACAGAAACAGTGTCTTATACTCGTCGCTTCAAACCCATAATCCAGGTGAAGCCTCTGTAGCTACCTACCTAACGACGTATCCTTCAGATTCGAACGCAATGAATCTTGGCAATGTTCATGGTTTGATTTGCTTCGAAACTGCTTCTCCCTCCGAGCTTGTGGTATACAATTCAAGCACCAGAAGATCCATCACGTTGCCCAGATTCGAACCCAAATATTTCGTCGTTAAACACTTGTTGGGCTATGATCCCATTGATGGTGTTTACAAAGTGATGTGTTTGACCCAACCAAGGACCGGACCAAGGAATATTGTTTTTCAGGTTTTGACATTGGGAAGTGGAAATTCGTGGAAGGTGATTGAAAACAGTCATACTCAGTCTTGTCTGACAAGCCAGATATGTATCAATGGTGTTTTGTACTATGAAGCTTATAATCAAAAGTTTACGGAGGCTGTAGTCGTCAGTTTTGATGTCAGGTCTGAGAAGTTTGATCTTATCGAAAGACCTGATACCCTTTCTAAGATTGGTAGTGATATAGACATGATAAGGTACGGAGGGAAGCTAGCTATCACGTCAAGAACGATTCCTCATTATGGTGGAAGTATTGTTTTGTGGGTTCTAGAGGATGCAGTGAAACATGAATGGTCGAAGAAGGTATTTGTTTTGCCTCCTTCGTGGACAAGTTTAACTCAGTACAGGTCACTTTCCTATCATCGTTTGGTTGATGTCACTGACGCGGGTGAGCTTCTTTTGGCACCGAATCTATTGGTTGATCCGGTTCGAGCACCATACT